GTGTTATTATTGTTTATTTTGATTCGCACGATAAATAGAGCACAATAAACGTTAACTTGACCGAAGGATAAAGGCGACTGCAGATAGAGGAACACATCGAGGTACAGGTACCGGCATCAATACAGTATCAGAGAGAAACAAACAAAAATGAGAGGTACGCAGAAAAAACTCTCGTAAGCCCAAGGGGAAGTGGTTGATGAGGGATGAATGCACTCTCCACGCTCATCTACACTGTTCGTGGAAATGCACACATACATACAATAATATACAACATAGCAATAGCATGCACAGAACCGAACAATTTCATGTTCACACATGCAAGCACAGACCTGAACATTAGTACCAAAAGCCGATACAGACAATATCCCCATACACACAGACGCACACACACACACACACACACACACACACACACACACAATGTCCCATGTATGCGCCCGTGGCGAGAAAAGCACGCAAATCTACAAATGCACTGGATGTGAACCCACAGATTTTCTCTTATAGCAACGATAGCGGATCTGATTCTGAATGAAACACACACACACACACACACACAATACAATCATTGAATGCCCATCTGCAGATGATGGCAGGTCCTGAAAGAACAGGCAGTGTTCCAGTAATGGGGAACAGAACTTCGAGTGGCGAGTGAGGTATACACACACACACACACACACACACACACACACACGTGCGTGCGCGGGCACACACTAAAGTATTCAGAAATAGAATCGACATTGTAGTATTCATTGGTTGGGGAATGGAAAGAAAAATAAAACATTGCTGTAGGTTATTGTTGTAAGGACACTGGGAGCACAACAGAAAGGTAAGCAACTTGCTTTGAAGCAAAGAAAGTTATTATTCCACGGATCTCAGAAGGAAGGAACGTTCCAGAATGCTGCACTGGCAACAGGCGGTCTGCATGTGCGCGGCCCCTACAGTCGGTCCAGCTGCCGGCCTTGCAGTGCTGAAAATAATGTGCAGTACAGCATGTCACATAGTATCGCAGCCTGGACAAATAGGTGCTGGGAAGTCCTAGTTATGTGCTCACCTACACCACGATGCACCAATCTTCTGAGCTACTTTGGCAACAACTTTGTCCACTTGAGACTCCCATGGGCTGAGCCAGCTGTTGAGGGCTACACCAAGGTGGACGGCAATGACCGCTGATGGCAAGGCAATCCATAACACACAGTCACTAGGGCATCGTCAACATGGCGCTGAGGCTGGATCAATAAAATCAACCTTTAGGCTGTCGCGGGGTTGACAACGAGGCCGCTGTCTCGAAGCTAGTCAGTCAGCCTGGTCACCGCCATTGACGAACCAGTCGCCACCGCCAGCAGTGGCGGTAGGTTGTGACAAGTGTGGTGCAATATTGTCAGCAAATTCAGTACTTAGGATAAGTTGAGTGACAAAGGGAACGTTGTGTTTGATAATATTGAAGTGAACAGGGATGATCACAAACCCTGCGCGTACTCCACCGTGAGTTACAAGAAAATTCCGGACTGGACGACGAGCAAACGCCAACCTGCTACATCCAACCAGGCAGATACTATTACAATAGCTGCCAAACCAGGTCAATGCCGACCTACTGCATAATGTCAATGTCAAACAGATCCTGCAGGAGAAGACTGGGGTGTTGGCGTCCAGTCACTGAGTGTACAGACACCAGTCACATTTCCTGTGTCTTTTGCAGCATACAGGCTGAGACTCATCACTGTAGAGTCCACTACTGCATGAGTTATATTTGTACAATACATGGCAGGCGTACACGGTGTGCCTCGCAGGACTGCGAGGTGCTGCAGAAGACCAGGTTCGACCTTTCTGGACCGCCATTCACCGACGGTGGGCTACACGATGCTGGAGGAACTAGATTCCAGTGAAAACCCAAGATTCCTTTGCTCCTGGACGCTCCGACGTGTTGTGATATCTGCCAGGTGTGCAGTAACTAATATTTTCATCGCTACAGCGAGGACGACGCCGATCGGCAAACTCTCGCTCACAGCCATCACCAGCCTCTCAAAACCATCACTTGGCATCCCCCAGAGGTACAGGAGAAAGCCAAAACAGCTCACAACAAACAAAAGCTAAGGACGATGGAAAGAGAGCATGTCAAAAAGAAGACGAACAGTATGAAGTTCAAATGGTTTTGAACACTCGTTCCACCAACTATACCACTTTCAATAAATCGTGACGCCATTTTGTTTTAACATGAATTATCGCGGATTCTCTTCATAGTATATCTTCCACCATTGAAATTTCGAATTTCCGAGTTCGAATTTTTTGCTGAGAGGGGTGGCTTGCAACCTCGATATGGCTTGTTCCAAGCATGCTTTGGATCCATCGCCTGGTTGAAACAGTGGCGGGAAGCTGCCCTGCAACTGTTCCAATAGGAAATTAATCGATCCGAGAAAGCGCGAGTCCGCGAATCTCGGTTCAATGGAGTATTTCAAGCCTTTTCACGACGAAGATGGAGTTCTTTTTGGAGATGGACGTCGCGGCAAAGGACATGGTGTCCGACTTCTGGCGTCTGGTGAAGCCAGGGATCATTTGTCCAGTCAGGTCGGCAGCCTAACCGTCGGTAAGCTTGTATTTGGATCCTGTTCTGCTCGATGTGGTAGATCACAAACAATTTGATATCGCACAAATTGATCTCAGCATCGTGCGTACGGTATTTTATATTCAGAAAATCCCAAAGTGTCTCTGTGTGGCCGTCCTATGCCACGAGAAACTCCAATCAGGCTCCTATGTCCTCTGCCTTCATGATTGAATGTCCACTTCGTTTGAACAACGAACACAACAATCGAGGACGGCTTTGCAATGAAAAATACAGCTATACTGGAGCTGAAAAAAAGAAGAAAAAAACGTGCTCAGGATGAGACTCGAGTACACGCATACTCTCCCGGGATCCCAGCAGGTGAAACGCAAATTTTTGTGAAAATGCGTGTCGCCGACTGACCAGTAATTTCGCCTGACGTGAGCTGTTTGCACAGTGCGATTTCCCTGATATGGAGCTGTGCAGACCATGTACATGTACACCTCAGCTATGCAGTACTTGTCCCCAGAGCCTCCGCAAGGTGACGGACGACATGATGCGAGACCGCATCGTAGTTGGCATAGCCCACGACGACACGCGCCATAAGCTCCTGGCAGCTCCGTCCCTCACCCTGGAAACCGCGGCCAAGATCTGCAGGGCTGAAGAAGCCGCACAGCAGACCGGTGACGGCATGGTACCGGCATCCGTGAATGCCGCAACAAGGTCATCGTATCAACGCAGCAAATCCGCTTTGGTTAGTAAGCCGAAATCTGCTGCAGCTGACAAGCCGGCGAAGTGCTCGCAGTGCGGACGATCCCAGCACACGAAGTCAATGTGTCCTGCCAAGGGCAAAGAGTGCCGTAAGTGCAAGGGCAGGGACCACTTCGCGGCAATGTGCCGCAAGACCATCGCATGCCTCACCATTCACGCAGTGCAGGCTGGTGACAAAGTGATGCTGTCAACACGTCTTGACGACAACGACCGGTCGTGCACGTTAGAGTGGTTGCCAGATACTGGCTCGGATGTTGATGCTATTGGTGCTAGTCATCTCCGCAGACTTGGTGGCAGTGTAGCTGATCTGGAACCTGACCCCGACCATGTTGTCGCCGTGAACGGTCAGCCATTGACCAGCTTGGGAACTGTTCCCGCCAGGGTTGTCGCTCGTGATGTCACGCACACCACTCGTCTACATGTGTATGACGAACTCAGTAGCGCATTGCTGTCGCGCTCATCGCTCAAGGCGTTAGGTTTCTTGCCGCCTAACTGGCCACAGATCGCTTCAGTGACACATCGGACATCCCGTTCTGCAGAGCACAGCAACCCTACACCAGACCAGCATGTACGTATCCGCCAGCGACGAGTTCGCTGACGTATTTGCAGAGGACACGCTCCGACCCATGGACGGTCAGCCGATGCACATCCAACTCGCGCCTGACGCCCAGCCGTTCAAGTTGAACAATGCCCGTTGGTTACCTTACGCCTATGGTGACCAGGTGAAACTCCAGCTGGACAAGATGGTCGCAGATGGCATCATCGCACCGGTCTCAGAGCCAACGGAGTGGTGTCACCCCATCGTCATAGCCGAAAAGAAAGGCACTGCAGAAGTCCGGATGACGGTGGATTTCACTAAGCTTAACAAGCCAGTCGCCCGGCCCGCGCATCCCATGCGTGCACCTCGCGATGTCGTTTCTTACCTTGGTAACGCCCAGTATTTTACCAAGCTGGATGCTCGCCACGGCTACTGGCAGGTCCCCTTGGACGAGGAGTCCAGAAGCTTGACCACATTCATCACACAGTGGGGCAGATATCAGTACCTGCGGAACCCACAAGGTCTGATTTCTGCTGGCGACGAATTCAATCAGCGGACCGATGCAGCATTCGCTGGTATTGAGCAATTCTCCAAGGTCGTGGATGACTGCCTGGTCTTCACTGGTTCCTTTGAGCAGCACCTGGAACGAACTCGTGAAGTTCTTCAACGCGCTCGTCGGTATGGTATCACCCTGTCAGCCAAGAAGTTTGCTTTCGCCGAGGCCGAGATCAATTTCTGCGGCTACGTGATAAACAAGTCCGGCTGGAAGACAGACCAGGAAAAGACCCGCGCTATCACCGAGTTTGAGATCCCTGCCAATCGCACTGACTTGCGATCATTCATGGGTCTCGTCAACCAGTGCAGGGATTTCAACTCACCATCGCCGAACACGCAGCGCCTCCCCGCGGTCTGCTGAAAGCCAAGAATGAGTTTCTCTGGCTACCCAAGCACACAGTCGCTATGGACGCTGTGAAGCAAGCACTTGTTGACCCACCGTTATTGGCCTTCTTCGACCCGTCAGCACAGACACATCTCGAGTGTGACACCGCTAGGACCAAGGGTCTTGGATTTGGCCTCTGGCAGTACCAGAATAATTCGTGACGCCTCATTCAGTGCGGCAGCAGATTCATCACCGACACCGAATCCCGGTACGCAATGATCGAACTGGAGATGTTGGGTGTCGCCTGGGCCATCCGAAAATGCCACACCTATCTTGCTGGCATGTCGTTTCATGTAGTTGTTGACCATCAGCCCCTTGTTCCAATATTGAACACCTACACACTGGACCAGGTTGAGAATCCTCGGCTCCAACGTCTGATGACCAAGGTACAACTCTATCAATTCGACGTCTCGTGGCGCAAGGGCTCTGAGCATGCCTTTGCTGACGCCTTGTCGCGTGCTCCAGTGCAGAACCCGGTTGCCGATGATCTCCTGGGAGAAGCCGACTCGCTATCTGGACAAGCCATCCGTGCATGCCTTCAGCAGGATGACTCCGGATCAGCGCTATTTGGTCTCCCGTTCCACGAGCTCCGCGATGCCGCTCAGTCTGACGTTGATTACGTGCAGTTAGTCTCCTATATTCGTGACGGCTTCCCTTCTGCCAGACGTCACATGCCACCTGCTCTCGCTCCGTATTGGAATGGCCGTGAGCACCTCACCCTGGATAACGGCACCGTCCTCCGTGGCTCTCGTCTTGTTGTGCCCAAGTCTCTACAACGCCGTGTACTGACTGACCTGCATTCGTCTCACCAGGGCCTGGAACGTACCAAGCGTCGTGCGCGTCAAGTGGTTTACTGGCCGAGGATGAGTGATGACATCACAGCCCTGATCTGTGCCTGCCCTGTCTGTCGTGAGCTCCAACGTTCGCAGCAGAAGGAGCCATTGATGCGCGAGCCACAGCCGACATTTCCATTCGAGTATGCCAGCGCAGATCTCTTCTCCTGTCAAGGCTGGCAGTTCCTGGTATATTCTGACCGTCTGTCCGGCTGGCCGTGTGTAGCTCGAATTGGCCGTACCGCTACCTCCCATGACATCATTTGTCACTTCCGCCGTTGGTTCGCAGATGTTGGCGTACCGTAGTAACCGCTGTTGTCATGGAAGGCATGAATCGCTTCATTCCACACAAAGAACTTTCGACGAAACCAACAGATCCATCCTGGTGGACGCCGGAATGCTCAGCCGCTACCCAGGCAAAGAAGAATGCATGGAACCGTCTCAGGAGACACCCCACCTGCCACCAGCAACTCATTGACTACAATGCCAAAGTCCGAGCCTCTGCCAATTGCCGTCGTCTCGCAAAGCAGGCAGAATCTGCCCGCATCCGAGATCGGCTCAAACATGGATCACTGCGAAACAAGCAATGGTGGTCACTCCTGAAGCAAGCTGCAGGCTCTGGCCGCAGCTCGTCTATCCCTGTCCTACGCAATGCCCAGGGCAGAGAATATGTCACCAACCAGGAAAAGGCTACTTTGCTGCGAGCAAATGCAGTCTAGGTGATCAATATCTACAGCACTCCGACCTTCCTCCTAGGTGTACATCTGCCCTGACAACTGTCCGATTTCGGGAAGCGACAGTCCAGCGCCAGCTCCGCCAGCTGGATCCAACCAAGGCTACCGGACCCGATGGCATCCCTGCCAGAGTTCTGAAGCAGTGCTCAAAAGTTTTGGCTGCACCACTTGCCAAGCTGTTCCCACTCTGTTTTCGGTGTCATGTCCAGCCCTCTTTCTGGAAAGTAGCCCTTGTGGTCCCGATACACAAGGAGCAATCTCATTCTGCTGTTAAGAACTACCGACCTGTGTCCTTGTTATCTGTTGTCTCCAAAGTCATGGAGATGATTGTCAACACTGCCATAATCAATCATCTTGAGCATGAAAAGGCTCTGTCCATCCACCAGTACGGATTCCGGCAGGGGCTCAGCACATCTGACCTTCTCACGTCTCTCAACCACTCCTGGGTCTCCGAAGTCAACCGTGGTGGCGCAGTCCGCGTGCTGGCTGTCGACATAGCAGGAGCATTCGACAAAGTTTCATACCGAGGCGTGCTCCACAAGGCTGCGTCATATGGCATCACTGGTCCCCTCCTCAACTGGCTGTCTGACTACCTGTATGACAGGAAGTTGCAGGCAGTAGTCGGCGGAGCATCTTCAGAACCATACAAGATTGATGCTGGGGTCCCACAAGGGAGCATCCTTGGGCCCACACTGTTTTTGCTGTACGTGAATGACGCCTGCGACGTCCTACCGGAAGGGATCTCTCCGGCTGTTTACGCAGATGACACCACGCTTTATGCCCACATCCCAACGCCACATGCTGTGACAGAAGTGTACAGCAACCTCCAAGCTGGTGTGGATGCACTTGCTGAATGGGGTGCTCAGTGGTGCGTCACTTTTGAGCCAACGAAATCACAGGCCATGACTGTGTCCCGCCACCGCAGACCCTGGGAGACACCACCCATCAGGTTCAACGGCACAGCGGTCCCGGAATGCTCGCGGCTGAAGCTCCTTGGAGTGACGTTTGATGCCCATCTAACATACTCGGAGCATCTTCGAGGAACTGCAGTGCGTGCCACACAGCGAATTGGTTTCTTCCGGAAGGCGTGCCATGTCCTGGACCCACTGGGCCGGGCCACAGCATACCGGGGGTTCATTCGGCCTCTAATGGAGTACTGTCCACTTGTATGGATGGGAGCTGCGGCTACCCATCTCTCACAGCTGGACCGAGTCCAGCATCGTGCCCTCACCCTGATTGGGACAGGGGCTGCAATGGACACTCTGTCCCTGCGGCGCCGTGTGGCCGGCCTCACAACTCTGTACAAGCTCCATTACATCGCAAGCCCGCCAGCTCTTGCAGCGACACGCCCAGCCAGAGCTATCGCACCCGCCATCGCGCCTGCCACACGTCGCCGCTCGGCAGCCAACCTTGCGCACGAGCTTCAACTCCAGACAGCCCTACCTGCCAGATCGTGCAATGTTGCGCTGCGCTCTTTCCCGGAGTGCCTTATCGAAGCCTGGAATGAACTGCCAGCCACTCTCCTCCGCAATGCACCGTCTGCCAAAGGGATGCAGCAGTTCAAGGTTCAGACCTACCACTACCTGAAACGGTCGGGTTGGTCATTGGCCACGGACATCGCCCCCTAGGCTACTGCCAGTACGACCCTGTTCATGTTCTCGGAGCACTCTCTTCTCATCAAACTCCCAATCCATCTGTCTTTATCTCTCTCTAACTCTCCTCCATTCTAACTCTAATCTTTCGTCAAATCTGCACGGCAATCAGCCTCTACTTTCGCCTCAGCATCATGATCTTGATACTGCTATATTTGTACTTGTTTGCGTACTTGTTTGCACTCATATCTTGGAATAACAAGTTTCCTGGTTTCCTACCACCCCCCCCCCCTCCCTCCTCTCTTTCCTACCCTTAGAGTTCTTGCTCTCCTGCTCCCCTCCCCGCCCTTCCACTCCCCATTTTGTTTCCTTTGGTGCACATGTGCAGCTGTGATGCCGAGACCCTTGGTCGGCTGAGCTTCACAGGTCCCACCCACTCCGTCCTGCTGGATATGTACCATTGTGTCGAGTTCTTCTCCTCATTTTAGTTCATCATGCAGTGAGTGTTCAATAGTAAAAAAAAAAAAAAAAAAAAAAAAACGCGCAAGATATTCACTGATGGAGGCCCGCAGTTTGCCGCTTCCCGTGTACGTGAGTTCTGTGAGCGTTGGGGTGTAGAACAGTGCTTTTCCACCCCACACTACCCTCAATCCAATGGCCACGCGGAATCAGCAGTGAAAGCAGTGAAACTGCTCATTGAGAAGACGACCCGGAATGGAAATCTGGATGTAGACTCCTTCCAACGCGGCCTGTTGGAGTGGCGCAATACTCCCCGCCCTAATGGCAGCAGCCCGGCCCAAGTGTTGTTCGGTCAGTCCCTCCAGTCGTTTGTGTTCGCCCCCCCCCCCCCCCCCGTGCCAGCTTTGATCGACACTGGATTGCGTCTGCTGAAGCTGTGGACTTTGTAGATCCGAAAACACATTATGACAAATCGGCACGCTCTCTCCATTCTCTACGGATTGGCACCCATGTTGATGTTCAGCACCACTAGACCAAGCTGTGGTCCATGCGTGGCGTCATTGTAGCAATTGGCAGTCGGCGCGACTACTTCGTCAAGATGCCTAGTGGCCGTGTCCTCTGGCGTAACCGCCGCTTTCTTCGTCCGTACGTTCCCCCATGTGTTGACTCCGCTAGTCATACCCCTTCCCCAACTTCATCAGTACGTGTACCTACTGACGCCGCTACCCAGCTTGTTCGTCGTAGCACTCGTATTCGCAAGACGCCTGACCGTCTCACCATTACATCTACGTCTGGACAGTCATATGTGTGACAATGTTTGTCTGTAGCATTTGGTCTCATCTTGTCATGCCTATGTCATTTCATCTCGTCTGTTATGACTTTATTTATTTATTTATTTTTGTTGAGACAAAACCAGGTTTTATCTCAAAAGGGGCGTGAGAGTATAATATTATGTTACTGTGTTTGTTATTTTGTGTCCGGTTGACACCCATGGAATTTTATCTTCGAAGGGGCGTTCTACTTCGTATATTCTAACCAATAAACTACTTGTCTCTTGTCTACCGAACCTAACAGTTATGAGGTTTATGTCCATTTTGACAGCGATAATTTCAGTCGTGCAGCAAACACATCGAAATTTGACTTGCACTGCATTCCTATGCTGATAGCAGCGTTGCACTGTATGTTCTTCTTCCAGTGGCTCTATCCGAAATATTGGGTTCTTTCACACCGTCACAAATGTTTTGCTCTCTAAATCGTACATGTACTTCCAGATTGCAATTTCAAATTTGGACTTAACGGAGAATTTCAAAGTGACTGACTGACGATTTTTTCTTTCTTTCATATCTGGCTTGCAATTGATCAGTTTCGGAGAGAAAAGAGCAGTACATGGCATGTGGCCTCTAATTTCCAAAAAAATGTACTTCCATACTCAGTGGTATTGCTGGTGACAATCGTAGTTGCTGCACTGATGCCATAGTTGGCTGTACAAGCGTACATTGAAACTTCGGTAAAAAGTACATTGCCATGATTGGCTATGACATACTATGGAATATGAAGAGCAATTTTGACAACCATGCATCACACAGTATGTGGCAGTCTTTTGACCTTGGGTATTTGAATAAGCCTCTTATAGGGGCAATCACAGAACATGATAACTGGCCTGACACAACAACTACAGAAAAAGCAAAACAAAAACAAGCAAAAAAATTAAATATATAGAACATGAACCTTGCCAATCTGCACACAATACCAACTCCATTCAAGATAGTTTCTGTATGCTTTCTGTGCAGATATGAAAAGCCTACTGCGAGCTAGGCATGGGCGAATAATGCTAGTTATTTGCTGCGATAATGCTAATGGCAATGCTCATAATATGAGGATATAATGCCACTTATAATGCTCACACTTTTCCATTATGCCAGTTTGGAAGTTGGAAAAGTCGATTTAAGGAGGCCGTCTTGGATCAAGGCCAAAGCGTAGAAGAACAAAACTTCACCAGCAGTGAGCATGTTGTCTGAAACAATCCACTGAGAAGGTTAATTCGCAACGTCAAGCCTCGGGACGAAGCCGGACGGGTTCAGATGCACGATTCTCGGAACTGCACCTAGCCAGCTTCATGCATGACACCGTTGTCGACCGGCAATTATGCTTGTAATGCCAATTTTGCATGCGAAATAGTGTTGTAATGCCAGCATTATGCCAGCTGGAAAAAGGGACCATAATGCTAGCATTACCCGCCCATGCCTACTGTGAGCACGATGGTTGGGCAGTGACCTTTGCCTTCATTTATTACTTTGTGACAGTGGAATAATTTAATATTCATTGTTACAAAGCAAGAAAGTATTCTGTATTGTTACTATGGATGTTGATCTAGCTGTTAGAAAGGCAGATGCCTTTGTCGACTGGTATGCCATCAGCTGCTGTTGTCCATTTAACCACAGTCGATTAGCCATACATGTACTAGTAATGCTGAATCATTTACATGTACAGTGCGTATCGGTGCGTATCGGTTATAGTGTAG